TGAAAGGTGGTCTTACAGCTCGACCAAAAACAAAGAAAACACTTGCTATTCAACATCGAATTGATACATTATATATTCGTTATGATAATGGTGATATTAATGCTAATGAACTTCTCAATGGTTTGTCTTATGTTGTTGCTAAAAATATTAAATCAAAAAGAAAATGAAGATTCATTATTATATATCAAATGACATTTATTCTAAGTCATTATATTCTCTATAATTATTTTTCATCTACTTAATTAGATGTATCACTTTAAATATATATGTTATGTCTTATTTAAACATTTTAATTTTCTATATTTTTCCTCTTCGCTATTTTCTCTTCGATATTTTTTCATTCGCTATTTTTCCTTTTCTATATTTTTTTTTCTATATTTTTCTTCTATATTTTTCCTTTCGACATTTTTCCTTTCTTCCTTTTTCCATACATTCGGTGGATTTTCTCTTAATTCAGCGAAAGCCAAAGTAGTCTTTGGGACTTGCATCGGTATTTTTAACTAAAAGATCTTCAAAAGTTCAGATGTGTAAATCTCTGATTGAGTTACTCTTAAGAAACGATGCAAAGCAAAGTTAGAATATCATCTTTTGAGCTTTATTCTTCGTTTTGATGAGATATAGCTACTGTACTGAATTGAGGAGTGAACGTTTAGCTAGATACTGCTTTTTAAATTTACTTGGCAAAATATTGCATTTTTTTTGGTATTGTGATTTCAGTTTTTAAAAAGTTGAAATTTTCAATGACCTTCAATTTTTGTTGTTTATAGTACTGTTGAAAAAATCTTACGAAGAATCGCCCGAAGTAATTAACTGCTTTTGAGCTCATACTTTGGGTATATAGAGGCGATCTCTAGACTAGTACAAGCCTAGAAGGATTGATGCTCATAGCCTTTCTGTCCTGAGATATTGAATTTTCAAGTCACAAGGAACATAATAATTTTGATCTATATCGCAAATATCTCGTAAACGAAAGTATCATCAGAGTTGAACGTTTTATGATAAACTAGTCTAATCATCAGAAAATCATCCTAAGATTTTCAGATGTTTATCTCATCTCTGTAATTCACAGTCATTTTTCTCGTAAATCCCCAAAAGACTTTGAGTTCGTCAATGAAGTTGGCTTCAATATCAATAATATTTTTTATCAACAATCGAGCTGTCGCTTGTCACATTTTATTCAATGCAGTCATTGTCGCAAAATATTCTACTTCGAACATTTTTTGAAGCCTATAACTTTCACAACTAGCTATATGCTGTCTATTTCTATGATCGTATAATTTTCAATGAAACTATTAGCATATACAAAAGCTCAATGTATTCTCACTGATATTTTAAAAAAAAATTACCCTGAATCACAGAGATGAGATAAACATCTGCAAATTTTAGGATGATTTGTCGATGATGAGATTAGTTTATGATAAAATGTTCAGCTCTGATTCTACTTTCGTTTACGAGATAATTGCGATATAGATCAAAGTTGCTATATTCCTTGTAACTTGAAAATTCAATATCTCAGGACAAAAAGGTTATGGGCACGAATCCTTCTTGGCTTGTACTAGTCTAGAGGTCTTCTCTACTATATGCCCAATGTATGAGCTCAAACGCGGTTGATCAGTTCAGGCGGTTCCCTGGTCAGGTTTATAGAGCAAAGCGGCTTAGAAAGTTAATCCAAGAATACGCGTCGAGTATTCTTTAGTTTAAATTTTCTTATTCGCTTCCTCTAAAATTTATTTAGTTTGAGTTTTATAGAAAATTTGATGGCACATCCTCTCTGAAAAACAAGTTGCATTTTGAAGTTTGAAGAAAACCCGTTATAATCACAGTACTAAACAGGACCACTATTAATACGTCATCTATTAATTTAGTAAAACTAAAAAAAGAAAGTTTCTGTACAGTCTTCTATGGTACATCTAATAATAGATGAATTGGTCATAGAGTGACCAATAGAGTACACAGAATAGATTGTTATATAATTTGAGTCTATATCTTGATGACAAACAATTCGAACTGAATTATTTCTGTCTTCTATCTATCTGTGCATATGGCTTTCCTTCGTCGCCTGATGCATCGTCGATTGAAGTGAAACTTAATGCTTTTATATCTGTTCTTCATACAATTCTTATCTCGGCACATGTGTTTTGTTTTTCTTGACTTTGCAATATTTATTTTTCGCGAAGATGTCTAATAAATTAGTAGTATAAAGAAACTTTTACGCTTCTTCATTGAGAAAATCTAGCAACTAGACAAACAAAGGTATTAGAAAAACAGACATGTGAAAGCAAGGTAGTTCAAAAAATCTGACCTGCTACTGGATGACCTTTATAGATGGTCCCACATCGTTTCTTTGAAATGAGAAGCGTATATGAATAGAATGTTTAAGCGAGGTATATTATGGTGATATAGAGTGTTGATAATAACCCATCGAGAGAAAGTCCTGATAATGTACTCCATCATTCATATTTTTTTTCATGAGTTTATTATCATTTGCAGTATTTTATGATCTTGACTTAATTCAATAGTTTTGTGAAGAACGAACTAATGTCCGTTTCAAAAAGAAAGGCAGGTTGCCACTTTCTGAGTAACTTTGACTGAGCGCAAAATATAGATCTGCGGTTTTCATCATTAGAAAGAGCGATGCCCGAGCCATCGATCAGTATAGAACTCATTAAGACGAAGGACACTTTTTATGGGTGCTTTTGGGTCTACACTTTTTCCTTTGTGTATTTTTATCAATGTTCACAATAATCTCAACTCAAATTATATCAAAAATGTAGCTTAAGTCACTCATTTTTCCCTTCAAAATTACCATATTTTTTTCTGAATCCGCTCAGAATAACAGGTTGAGAGACAATGAAATATGTAATAATATTACAGCGAAAAAAGGGTGATTTAAGCTACATTTTGATATAATTTAAGTTGAGATTATTGTGAAAATTGATGAACATACATAAAAGAACAAGTGTTGACCCAAAAGCACCTACAAAAAAGTATATTTCGTCTCAATGAGTTCTATACAGATTGATGGTCCGAACATCGCTCTTTCCAATGGTGAAAAGCGCAGGTCTATATCTTGTGCTCAGTCAAAGTTATTCAGAAAATGGTAACCTGGCTTTTATTTTGAAAAGGATATTAAAATAAATTGTGAAGTATTGAGGTAAAAAGTTCGCCGCCCACTCCCAGAAAAAAACATGTGATAGACGTTAACCAGAGGTCATCATCTAACGTGGCAGACATTGCTGAAATACAACCACAGACTGTTCATCCTTCTTTTAATTCTGCAGAAATATAATAAGAAATTAGTTCATATGTTATAACGAGACGTTTTTGGATGTACAGTCTGTGGTTGTATTTCAGCAATGTCCGCCACGTTAGATGATGACCTCTGGCTAACGTCTATCACATGTTTTTTTCTGGGAGCGGGCAGTGAACTTTTTACCTCAATACTTCACAATTTATTTTAATGTCAGTTTCAAAATAAAAGCCAGGTTACCATTTTCTGAATAACTTTGACTGAGCACAAGATATAGATCTGAGCTTTTCACCATTGGAAAGAGCGATGTTCAGACCATCAATCTGTATAGAACTCATTAAGACGAAAGATACTTTTTTGTAGGTGCTTTTGGGTCAACACTTGTTCTTTTAGGTATGTTCATCAATTTTCACAATAATCTCAACTTAAATTATATCAAAATGTAGCTTAAATCACCCTTTTTTCGCTATAATATTATCACATATTTCATTGTCTCTCAACCTGTTATTCTGAGCGGATTAAGAAAAAAATATGGTAATTTTGAAGGGAAAAATGGGTGACTTAAGCTACATTTTTGATATAATTTGAGTTGAGATTATTGTGATCATTGATAAAAATACACAAAAGAAAAAGTGTAGACCCAAAAGCACCCATAAAAAGTATCCTTCGTCTTAATGAGTTCTATACTGATGGATGGCTCGGGCATCGCTCTTTCTAATGATGAAAACCGCAGATCTATATTTTGCGCTCAGTCAAAGTTACTCAGAAAGTGGCAACCTGCCTTTTTTTTTGAAACGGACATTAGTTCGTTCTTCACAAAACTATTGAATTAAGTCAAGATCATAAAATACTGCAAATGATAATAAACTCATGAAAAAGAATATGAATGGTGGAGTACATTATCAGGGCTTTCTCTCGATGGGTTATTATCAACACTCTATATCACCACAATATACCTCGCTTAACGACCAGCATCAACACCATTATCATCAGTACCAGCAGCATCAAAC